GGTTTCTCGGGTTTCAGCTTAAGGAAACTTTACCTGCACCTCCTCCATTGTTTGTGAAGTTGATGCCCTATTTTCAAGTACATCTGCATTTACATATTCCATTATGACTTCATGTGTTTTCTGATTCTCAATAACAGACTCATCAGCATCATCGTCATAAGGATTATGGATCCCATCAATGTTTTTTTTATTGAGTATTGATAAAAGAACCTCGTCGGTTTCGTCTTTTTTTATTTTTGGAGGAGGCCCACCACCCGTCAACATAGTTTCTTTTCGCTCTTCAGCTAAAGATTTTCTCAATTCTTTCTTTCTATTTTCATAGCACTTTTTAAGTGCCACAGAGATTCTACAAACATTAATGCTAGATGCATTGAATTCATTCTCAATAGCTTGCCAGGCTTTTTCCTTTAATACAGATGATGCTCGATCTGGTTTTTTATCTTCTATAATGGAAGCGTGCTTAGTTGCAATTATATTCATCAGTCGAGCTCTTTCTGTGACTGTAAAATTAGGAACTCGGACTTTTTGTGAAGTACTCATATTACTTATTTATTAAAAAAACTGATAAAAAAACTATTAAAAACTGGTAAAAAACTGATAAAAAACTGATAAAAAACTGATAAAAAACTGATAAAAAACTGATAAAAAACTGATAAAAAACTGATGATAAAAAAACTGATAAAAAAACTGATAAAAAACTGATAAAAAACTGATAAAAACTGGACGTATACTGAACCACGTGATCAAAGATTTTTTACATCTCAGATGCATCCGATGTGGATTCTCAAACGCAGCAATAGTAACAGAACAAAACAGTTAGGTTAGAGTACACATTTACAAAACTCAGAACACAAAATTTGCAGAAATGTTAGAATTTTTTAGCTGTTGCCAAACTTCTGACTGGTTTAATAAATTACAGTGCATATAGTATCAACATTTAAATGAAGCTTTATATTACAGCCTAGCTTAATTAAGCGACACTTAAACGAAAAACGGTGAATATGGGCATAAGACTAAGAAGTAGTATTGCGCAGCGAATAAGTAACGGTACCTACTGTTCTTTCGGCTAACAACAATGCCGCGTTTGAGAATCCACATCGGATGCATCTGAGATGTAAAAAATCTTTGACCACGTGATTCAGTATACGTAAATGTAATGGGACAGATGTGTCCGATGTGGATAAAAAAACGCTCGAGATGTAAAAAATATATCCGATGTGGATTCTCAAACGCGGTAAAAGTGTGTCAAATAACCCCTTACGAAAAAACCTCACTTAATAATTTTATCGCCGGAGCGACGGCATGTTAAAAAATAATATGCGTGTACGTTACAGAATTTGAAAATTTCCAAAATTTGTATGGACATTTTAATGACCCAAACAAAGCATCGACTTCTAGACAAAGTAATAATTATCGTCAATCTTACACGGCAACACAATCATTTTCTCAAAATCAAAATCCCATATCTTATCAGCGAGCATCCCATGAACCCAGATTTAATAATTATAATTTTCTGTTATGTACTTAGGACCGATTCCACCGTTGTGTTACCGAAGTATGCTTTTTATTTATCCAAAGCACACACATGCAAGTATACGACATTCGATTAGATACGCCTTGTTTACATAAACATTTGTCGTATGATAATAAGGTCCATAATCGCATGCATAACAAACTATGGTACCAGCAGAGGTTGCCACAGTGTCTGTTTCGGTTAAACGTATAAGGATAATAATGATTAGTTCCCAATGCCCTGTATATTTTTAAAAGTGTTGTTGGTTGTTGGGTGTTTTATTTTAGTGGAATATTCTTGTTTTATTTATTTATATAAAAGAAATTGTCTACAAACGTGATTATACATTTCAAAATAGTAAAGAGATGCATAGTTTTCCGAACATTTTGGACCAAAACCCAATGAACTGGAGGGGGGTAGAATGCCAATGTACATGTTGTACTATTAGAACAAGGTGCGACTCGATGGGCGCAGCCATTTTTATTGTTCATCTCACTCGGGACTATTTATAATAACCATTTTCTGTTTCACATTGTTATTGTTCAATCCACAAGCTGGTTGATCAGAAAATAACAATGTGAAATAGAAAATGGTTATTTTAAATACTCCCGAGTGAGATGAAAAATAACCTATCTTCGCCCATAGAGTCGCACATCAAGCCTATTGACAAGTATTCTACCCCACTCCAGTTCATTGCCAAAACCACCCAAAACCAATGCTCGCTATTTTCACAGGAAGGTTATGTCAAAAGTCAAAATCAAACTCATGAAATGTAAATATTGTAGATATCCATGGGCGTAACAACTGTGCTAGGGTTTCATTTATTTCTTGATATAAAAATACATAAAATTGTAGAAACTGCTTATTTTTTGGTTTACCATTTACAGTTTTCCGAGAGAAATTGTCCAATGTCATTGTGGCTGAACGACTTGAACATAAATGAGGAAGATCTCAAAACTGAAAGATGCCAAAGTTTGTTCAGATCACTTTTCACCTGAAGATTTATTTAGCTATAATAATCGAACATTTTATTTTAAATCCAATGTTTTGTCAATATAGTAAGTAAACAAGTGTCTTTGTATACATATTGATATAGGTAAATGGTAATTTATAAGTATTTATTGCAAAAGTCTACTTATACCTAGTTAAACAATTCTTTTTTGAAACTGTTATTGAGTTCTAAAATACTGTGAAAAATAGCTTGGAACTGTTGTCTCCCAGTTGTAGTTTAATAAACACAAAGTAAACTTTTTTGATTGTACTAAACCCATTATTGAAAACTTATAATTTTTTTAGTACATATTTCGTTGAGGGAAGTAGTATAGAAAATGTATATGGAAACGTATGATGATTATTTTCGCTTAGTGCAAAGTCATGGTAGGAGAAGCAAAAGCGATACTAGTACAAGCTGCAGATAATTCGACCACTTTAGGGCGATATTTTGTAATTTTGGAGTATCAAATACACGTAGGTATACATTTTACTTTTTTGCAAAAAAGAAGTTAGCAAAATGTAATAAGCAACCGTAGTTGGTGTGTACTAGAAGTAGAATCTCCCAAGGTATTTATTTATTTTTATCTTCTAAAAAGTAAGTTTTCACTTCTTTTACAAAATTAAATTGTTTTTAAATTCCAAGATATTTTGTAATTTATTCTTTTTTTTTTAATTTATTCGGGTCCTGTGAATAAGAAAAGGAAACATAAATCCACGTCCTGCACCAATGTGAAAGCCTAACTAGATTAAGGCTTCTAATACTAGATGAAGAAAAGCCAGACACATGTAACTACATGCATGTGGTCAAGGAAACTAAATCTAATAAAAAAGTCCAAGCTTAGATGACATACTCTAAAACGAACGGAGTCTTACAATAGATCTGAAAAGGTCGCGGTGGACACGGATAAATAATAACAAACTCCTTTTAAATCTAATATCTAATCTACCCTTCTTTTTGACAAAAGCGTCGTGACATGCCACTCATATTTTGGTAAGCATCGGAATTTTTAATAATTTTTATGTAAAAGTCTTCAGTATTCTAAGAAATTCTCCATGTATTCCTTTAATAGGGCAATTTAGAAGCAAATTGATATGAAATTATTGTTCATTATTCGCGCTCATAATGAGCCTATATAATAATTATTACAAATGGTTACAACGTTGCCAACTATCAGTTAAAATGTTGAATATTGCATAAAACCATGGAAGTGACTTATTTCGAAATATCAGAATTCAATTTCAAGACAAAATATTCAAAACGATAAACCCCCTTGGATTATGGAGGAACATAATGATGTTATATGCGCGGGGTACTGCCTAAATATAACCAATGGGTTTTAAATTGTAAACAATTTTAATGCAGGTAAATGTACTGAATACTTATGGTATCTAATACCGACCAATTTTAAATGAGTTGTTTACATGTAGTAATTATTAAGGTAGTTCACGCGCGACAGTCGTACACAAAAATATCGCCAAAAGTTTTAGATTCTCAATGCTGAAAAATGTTATTTTTGTAAGAGACTGAATACAACACATGTAAGCTTATGTACGGATACGTTATTATTTCAAGTAAAATCCATCTGGCAACGTCACAAATATATGAATGGTGCGCTATCAAGTGTATACCTATAGAAATTTGTGACTTCCTCATACTAATTTTAAGGGTTTGTTTTGGTTCAAACAGAACCGTCGATTCCAGTTCTCAAATACAGTAGACAAATTAATTTTTCAAGAACACATCACGAAGTTATAACAACCTCTTAGCTGATCGAGTGTAATTCAGTGATTCTGAACTAACAATGTTGCCAAGTTGTAACCATTGTACCCTACTACGCGTCGGCTGCTTTAACAATATTTTTATTTTCTTTTTACCAAAACGGTAAAAAATTCAGCGTTTTTCTAGAAAATTTTATAACTTCTTGATTTACATTACAGTAGTTTTTGTAAATAATATAGTTCATTAATCTCCGTGTTTGTGTATAACTATTTTTGGTTGATAAATAAAATGCTTTAATTGGTCTTTATTTTATATAAAGGAAGGTATGTAGTCAGAAATATGTATAATATTCTTGCTTCACATATAAAACGGGTTCTTCACAATATTTTTCTATTTTCTTTTCTCCTTCGTCAGTCAAGCTTTATAGTAGGTATATTTACTCAAAATGTATACAAACTGTTTAAAGTACAAAAATAATAATCCTATAAAATTGAGTAAATAATATACAAAATGACAAGTCTGTGCATGGTCTATGAAGTATCACAATACTGTGAAATACTATTTTTACATTGAAAGTTAAAAATAAACGCTATAAAACAATATTTTTAAAATCATGTCCATTTAGCTTTCATCTAGCATTATATAGTAATTAACAATATAAACCCCTTCCATACGGTACGGCACTGCCAAGTTTTCCGTTTGTGTACCTTTCCTCTCTCTAGATTAAACCCACTACTTCCACATGTCTATCCTAATATATGATCGAATACCTAAATACGGACCACGGACTCCAGCAGGGTTGTTCATGGAAAGAAGAAGAAGAAGAAGAAGAGAAGAAAGAAAATAGAAGAAGACATTTGAGTTTGAGGTTAATTTCAAGGAAGGTTATTTTGTTGGTTTGTTTATTGATTTTAAGTAAAAATCGGTTATTAAAACTAACTTAAAAATGTCCAGAAAACCCGTTAGCGCTGAAGAAAAACGAACTAGAATGTTACAGCTCTTTTATGAAAGAGGAGAATGTTTTCAATTAAAAGAATTAGAAAAAGTAGCACCAAAGGAAAAAGGAATCGTAACAGCTTCAGTCAAAGAAGTATTACAAAATCTTGTGGAAAATGGGTTGGTAGATACTGACAAAATAGGCACGTCGATATATTTTTGGGCATTTCCAAGTAAAGCTATTACTGCAAGAAAGAGGGAAATGGAGGACCTGCAAAAAAAGACAGAAGAAATTGAGAAAAAAATAAAACTTATTGAAGATACTATAGAATGTATGTAAAACATTGATTTTGCCTTTCTTGAATGCAATATGTTTCAAATTCAAATCTTATACAAATTTGAACATAAATGGTTTAATGTTTAAATTTTGTTGAATATAAAATATACTACATTTCAATAATGTTCTAAACAGTAAGCATCAGAGATAGGTAGCAGGAATATTCCCCTGGAAATATTCCTGTTGGTTGTGCTGAACATTCCTCAATCAACATCTATATTATATTACCATATTCACAGAATCTTATCAGTAGTAATATCCCAAGGACAGCAATAATTCAAAATAATTTTTGCTTGAGTTATTTGAAAACAAATTATGTGTATTTATCACTGGCCGAGGGGTATTTGGTCAGAAAATGTTTGGCATATTTTAACTCAATTATTTAATAAAAAGCAGGGTTTGAAAATATCATGATATTTATATAAATATCATATCACATGATATATATCATTTGAAAAATTTAATTATTTAATTCAAAATTTTAACACAAACACATTAACAAAAACCTAAATACTAAATGACAAAACCGTTTATTCTAACTCAAATTAAAAAGAAAAAAAATAATTAAATAAACAGATTTTAACATTAATATTTTAACACATAATTAAACATATATTCTAAACAACAAAACCTTTTATTATAACATTTATAACTCTAATATTAAAAAGAAAAAAATGAAAATAGAAAGATTTTAACATTGATCTTAGTAGGTATATTATCCTCATCTGATGAATTATAAATATCAATAATGTGATTCCTATTTGTGACAATAACTTCAGAATCTTCAGATAAGGCTGGTTCCCATGACCAGTCAAGGTTCGTTTTCTTTTTGTCTATATTTTGATTCATACACTTAAACAGCAAAAACAAAACAAATCGTGGCAAAGCTGGGAACCTTAAAGTCGGCGCGGCGATGCTTGTGCAACAGTCGAATAAATCGCTAGTTATTATACTTTTGTACAGGGGCGTATTGAGATATTTTCGGATTTTTAGAATGTTGGAAAACATTTTTAATTTGATAAATAAAATTATCGGATATACAGGGTGTTAAAAAAAGTGTCACAAAATGAAATGGTGAATAGTATGACCCAAAATAAGCAGAAAAGTCTTAATAAATATATGACCGCAAATTAACGGTTTCGGAGATACGGACCATTTTGTGTTTATAAAAATTTTTTATTATAAAAAAACAATGATATTTATAAACAATCAATAACAACATAGAGTTAAATGAGATGTTCAAAGTGCCCTCCCTCCATTTCAATGCATTGCCATTTGCACGACCGTACATAAAATGCATGTCAGCTAATTCAATATTAGTGTAAACAGGCATAATGAAAATTTATAAAATTATTCACCCACAACAAAATAATAACTGCAAATAGTATCTATGAAAAAACATCGGTAGACTCCGATAAGAAAAGCAAGTTTTTGAGAATGAAAAAAGATAATCAAAAAATGATACAAAACACAAAACACTCCGTATCTCTGAAACCATTCATTTGCGGACATATGTTTATTAAGACTTTTCTGCATATTTTGGCCCATACTTTGTGACACTTTTTTTTTAACACCCTGTATATCAAGTCATAAATATTATAATATATATATCGTGATATACATCATGATATATACATCACTTGATATATATCCTCCGAACCCTGATAAAAAGTAACTTACTAGTTACAGTTCATAACGTCTTGACTTTACATTCCATAAAGTGTTAACTGTACAGATAGAATGAAGTAGAGATGACATACCACTGTTATGTGATATGATAGATAGACAAACATCGAGTGACATAAAAGTGTAATAAAAATGGCGACTGGAGTTGTACTTTGATTTATTTGAAGCCAGTAATTTTATATTTCAAGACTGACAGAGTGAAAATGATTTTATAACATTTAAATGAAGGTATTTAAAAAAATGGCATTTATTTTCACCAAAACTGATTAACTATCTCGAGTTTGACATATAAAGGTGGGGACACTTTAGCATCGTCATAGCATCTCCTCTTTATTCTATCTTAATGTTTAAGTCGGTATCATCTTTTTTCTCATATTTACTGCTCAATCCTTCAGTATCAAAGTTAGATCCTAAATACTTCCATTTGCATCTAACACATATATTCTAATTTCATAAAATTGTATAAATAATTTCCATATATCTATATATATATATATATATATATAAAATTGTTTGTCCTGACTGACTGACTGACTGATTGACTGACTGACCTATCAGCGTACAGCCAAAACTACTAGGCCTAGAAAGCTGAAATTTGGAACATAGGTTTATTTTATAACGTAAACATCCGCTAAGAAAGGATTTTAGGAAATTTTAACTATAAAGGGGGAAAATGGGAGGAAATGGGGCGAGGGAGCTTTTAATGAAACTCTTTGTTCTTTAAAGTTAGAAACATGAAAATTTAAATTACAGCTGCTGAGCAAAAATAAAAAATGACGTGTTTCAGGGTTTTTGGATTTTTTACATTTTAGGGGGGGGAAACGGGGGGTGAAAGTTTGTAAGGGACTATCGATTTTTTTGTTCTCTATGAAGTTAGAAACATGAAAATTGGAATTGCAGCTACTGACTACAAATTATTAATGACGTGTTTCAGGGTTTTTGGATTTTCCCATTTTAGGGGGGGAAATGGGGGGTGAAAATTTATTTGGGAGTATCCATGTTTTTGGTTCTCTTTAAAGTTAAAAACATGAAAATTGGAATTGCAGCTACTGAGTACAAATTAATAATAATGTGTTTTACGGTTTTTATATTTTAACATCTTGAGGGGGGGCAAACGGGGGTAAAAGTTTGTATAAGAGTATAACTTTTTTGTTCTCCTTGAAATTAGAAACATGAAAATTGGAATTGCAGTTAATGAGTACAAATTAATAATAACGTATTTTAGGGTTTTTGGATTTTCATATTTTAAGGGGGGGAAACCGGGGGGTGAAAGTTTATTTGGATATATCGATTTTTTTAAAGGTAGGAACTTGAAAATTGGAATTGTAGGTTCTCATCATAAATAAATAATGAAGTGTTTCATGGTTTTCGGATTTTCACATTTTAAGGGGGGAAAACGGGGGAGAAAATTAATAAAAATTATTAAAAATTAATAAAAAATTAATAAAAAATTAATAAAAATTAATAAAAAATTAATAAAAAATTATTAAAAATTATTAAAAATTGTAAAATATTATTAAAAATTATTAAAAATTATTAAAAATTATTAAAAATTATTAAAAATTATTAAAAATTATTAAAAATTATTAAAAATTATTAAAAATTATTAAAAATTATTAAAAATTATTAAAAATTATTAAAAATTATTAAAAATTATTAAAAATTATTAAAAATTATTAAAAATTATTAAAAATTATTAAAAATTATTAAAAATTATTAAAAATTATTAAAAATTATTAAAAATTATTAAAAATTATTAAAAATTATTAAAAATTATTAAAAATTATTAAAAATTATTAAAAATTATTAAAAATTATTAAAAATTTTTAAAAATTATTAAAAATTATTAAAAATTATTAAAAATTATTAAAAATTATTAAAAATTATTAAAAATTATTAAAAATTATTAAAAATTATTAAAAATTATTAAAAATTATTAAAAATTATTAAAAATTATTAAATATTATTAAAAATTATTAAAAAATAACAATTAATAAAAATTAATAAAAAGTTTTTAAAATAAATAAAAATTAATAAAAATTATTAAAAATTAATAAAAATTAATAAAAATTATTAAAAATTAATAAAAATTAATAAAAATTAATAAAAATTAATAAAAATTAATAAAAATTAATAAAAATTAATAAAAATTAATAAAAATTAATAAAAGTTAATAAAAATTAATAAAAATTAATAAAAATTAATAAAAATTAATAAAAATTAATAAAAATTAATAAAAATTAATAAAAAATAATAAAAATTAATAAAAATTAATAAAAATTATTAAAAATTAATAAAAATAAATAAAAATTAATAAAAATAAATAAAAATTAATAAAAATTAATAAAAATTAATTAAAATTATTAAAAATTAGTAATAATTAATAAAAATTATTAAAAAGTAATAAAAATTATTAAAAAGTAATAAAAATTAATTAAAATTATTAAAAATTAATAAAAATTATTAAAAAGTAATAAAAATTAATTAAAATTATTAAAAATTAATAAAAATTAATAAAAATTAATAAAAATTAATAAAAATTAATAAAAATTAATAAAAATTAATAAAAATTAATAAAAATTAATAAAAATTAATAAAAATTAATAAAAATTAATAAAAATTAATAAAAATTAATAAAAATTAATAAAAATTAATTAAAATTAATAAAAATTAATAAAAATTAATAAAAATTAATAAAAATTAATAAAAATTAATAAAAATTAATAAAAATTAATAAAAATTAATAAAAATTAATAAAAATTAATAAAAATTAATAAAAATTAATAAAAATTAATAAAAATTAATAAAAATTAATAAAAATTAATAAAAATTAATAAAAATTAATAAAAATTAATAAAAATTAATAAAAATTAATAAAAATTAATAAAAATTAATAAAAATTAATAAAAATTAATAAAAATTAATAAAAATTAATAAAAATTAATAAAAATTAATAAAAATTAATAAAAATTAATAAAAATTAATAAAAATTAATAAAAATTAATAAAAATTAATAAAAATTAATAAAAATTAATAAAAATTAATAAAAATTAATAAAAATTAATAAAAATTAATAAAAATTAATAAAAATTAATAAAAATTAATAAAAATTAATAAAAATTAATAAAAATTAATAAAAATTAATAAAAATTAATAAAAATTAATAAAAATTAATAAAAATTAATAAAAATTAATAAAAATTAATAAAAATTAATAAAAATTAATACAAATTAATACAAATTAATAAAAATTATTAAAAATTAATGAAAATTAATAAAAATGATTACAAATGAGTAAAAATTAAAAAAATTAACAAATATGAATAAATATAAAAAAATGAAAAAAATGAATGAAAATCAATAATACTAATAAAAATTAATAAAAAAGGAAGTCTTGTATTTTTTTTATATTAATAACACGACTATATGCGAGCAAAGTGCGAGCAAAGCCGCGGGCAATAGCTACTATATATATATTTTTTTTTACTGCTTACAGTATTTATTGGTGTGTTTTTTCTATTAAATTATCAATATTTTGATTATTTTACTATATCGAGGATATTTAGAACTAAATTTGAAAGTATTAAAAGTTTGACTTTGTCATAATATTAAACCTGGTTTACATATGGAGTACACCAGATTAACGTTAGTATTAAATTCTGATTGATAATGAAATGAAAAAAAGGGCAAAAAGTCATGAATTACTGTATATACTGTGAACCTTTTTATAAATAATATTAAAATAGCTATTAGACGAATCATCCAATTTTGTGTTTTATCATTTAGCGGAATAAAAAATAGATGTAAAATAGTTCATATATAATGGTTTATTTGGTGCAAAATTTACTTAGGGAATTTATCAATGAAAGTCAGAGTTGATTGGATATGCTGATACACGTGACCGAAAATGAACGATTTTAATTGGTTTTCTATTGATGCCAGAAATTTTCATTTTAATTTATCAAGCAGTTTAGATTTTGAAACAATCTGAAGTGGATTAAAATTTACATGGACAGTGTAGATTGAAAAATTTATTTATTTTTGGGATTGTTAGTTTTGGTTTTATATATTTTTAATTATTTGAATTTCATTCCTGTCAATTTTTCAATAATTTTTTTACCTTTTCAATATTTAAATTATAGTAGTTATTTTCATTATTAGTAAAATAAAATATATAGAAAATATTCATATATTCCCCCCAGATTAAAAGTCCCGGAAGATACCTGCCTTAGCATTAAAGGAATAATATTTATATTAATATAAACATAATTATATTGACCTTTTTTTTAGCATCCAAATGTAGTAAAAATGATGATTTTACACGTAAAAATATATTAGAGGAAATAAGTGATAGAGAATGTAAACTTAGTAGTTTAAAACAGGAATTTGGAAATTATGAAGAAAATGATCCTACCAAATTTGAAAAATTAGTAAATAAATCAGAAGAATTGAAACATGCTGCTAATAGGTGGACAGATAATATATTCTCTGTAAAATCTTGGTGCATAAAGAAGTTTATGATGGAAGACAAAGTTTTGAATAAGCAATTTGGTATACCAGAGGAGTTTGATTATATTGAATAAAATGTTAAAAATAGTATAGTTGAATTATTTACTTTAGCATGTATTGTAAAATGAGACATTTTATTTGAAATCTAATTTTATCAGTAATTTAATGCACAACATAGTAAAACATAATTGAATGAAACATGAACTTAAATAATTAAATAACCTTGCCATTAAAGTTAAGATTAAATCAATTATTTAATTGAATCAGTCATTTCAAAAACCACATAAGTCAACTATTGGCAAAATTTTGTTATGATCAAAAGTCACTTAAGTCGCATTAACTATTAGATAAATATACCATTTTAAATTTTTGTATTTGTTACAAATACCGTATAAGATAATGACTTTTTAAAAAATATTTAATTTAAAATTACAACATATGTCTTTCTACTTGAGTGGTTAAACAGAATCTAAAGAAACTAAATACAATACAACTAATCTAACATGCCTTCTAACAAGATAACGTAATCCTAGAAAAGATATAATTGTGCAACGGTAGACAAAATGTGGCCTCGTAACTCTTATGTGGTTTTTGCATGGACAGTCGATTTTTTAAGTTGGTATTCTAATTTATATTGGCTTTGTTTGCAGAGCCTGTCACCGATAAGTACACGACTTGTCACTGATAAATAATCAGGAACATTTGTGTGCAACTGCGATTTGTAACAAATCCCTGACAAGAGATCACAGTGAACAACTTGTATACCAAAATGACTATCATACACTTTAACTGCAAATGAAAAGTGAGAGATAACTTTATTAGGGTGAGATTACAGAACGTCTTATTGTTTTGCAGATCTGCAAATATGGCGGATCAAGTTTTCGTATTCCAAAAAATATCTGCAAATTCGCAATATTTATTGTGGTTTATTAATCCAACAACACTAAACCCAAATCCACCCTTAAGGAGGTTAGAACATCCTACAAACTTGCAGATTTACTTTTTTTTAATCTTTTGTTCCTTTTGATTGAATACTGTTCGTGGTGTCAGATGATCGGGTTTTTAAACATAGTAATGTATTTGGGTAAGTCCGCCATATTTCCAGATCTGCAAAGTTGCCACCATATTTGCAGATCTGCAAAGTTGCCGACATATTTGCAGATATGCAAAGTTACAGACTTTCTGTAATCTCACCCTTAGATTATGAAGATAGTTTTTAGAATAGATATCAGAAACATTTCATTGTAAAAATTGTAGTTTTTATTTGTTGTTCAATTTTTTATTAGTTTGAATAATTAAAAACTCAAACTTCCATTAATTTTTTCTTTTCGTTATAACGCAATCACTTGTACTTACTATGCATGTCCTGACAAATTGTCCACGCTAATGTTTGCTGATTGTTTTGACTTGATTCTCAGTAACTTGTCGTGTACTTACTGACATTTGGTCAAAGTCCCTGATTTTCGGCTCCAGGAATGCCTGAAATCGAAATGCGCATGCTCATCTGTCCTGGACTTATCAGATTATTTTTCAAGTTTAATATTACCTTTATATTTTAAAATAATTTTTATTAAACATTTTGATAATGTAGATTTTTGCTTATTTTCTTTCATAACAAATATAAAAAAAAAAGTTAATAACAAAAAAATTTAAATTTTTTCTTTAACATGCGTTTTTTAGATCTTCAGTTCTATTCATAAAATCTAAATACTGAAATACTTTATTGAAAAATTATTAATTTTTTAAATGAAAAGTAAATTTTGTTAAAAAAGTTTTTTGTGTCTACTGAAAATTGATTTTTTTACTTATATTATTTTTGAAATTACCGATTCAATTTTAATCACAATAAACCATAATAACATTTATGCTAAAATTAGTTTTAAAATGAAGTGTCATATTTAACAATTTTTATCCCACTAGAGAGCGCCAAAATCAAAGTAATGCCCTGAACAGTCAATCGCTGAATTCCCATGAAATTACCTTCTCAATGATGTCTCATACTTGGTACTATTTAAGTTGTATTAGTACTGATTTAGTAGAGTGATGAGAGGAGGGGAATATCGTATGTGGCGACTTTAACTTTGAAAAATTACATCAGGTTTTGTCCATTCGAAAAAAAAAACCTAACAATACTAACCATCTTATAAATCATAATTTAAATTAGTTAGGTTGCGTTAGGGATTCAGTAAACAGAGAAAACTGACAACAAAATTATCAGAAGTGCCGAAGGATTTGGAAGTTGTGTTGATAGTCGCTGAAAGTGGTCTCTGTTATGTGCATGTTTCTATTATTAACAAGCTCAGCTTTTGGGGTTAAAATTCACTCGTAAGGGGGTGAATTAGGGAGAGTATTATTATTATTATTATTATACCTTATTCAATTAATTGTTAGCAAATAGGTTAGAAATGGTAGAAGTAATACAAAAGCATTTGCCGCTGCGCGAATTTTGCCAAAATCGAAAAACTGCGGAAGGAGTAGGGGGATGTCCCGGGCCGGACTTAAATATTTGTATTGTAGTATCTAATTTTGGTAACTGTTAAACGTTGAAATATAATGATAAATTTTTTGACTTTATTATCACGATTCATTTATGATGAGGGCAATAACACTTTATCAGTAGCTAGTTGCTAAGTAAAAGTTTATAAAATTATTGTAACAAAAATAACACAAAATGTTGCAATATAATAACATTGAAATTAATGTGTATTAATAATACATAACACATTATTTTTTTATCAACCGGTTTTACAAATTATTAAGCAAAATGTTAATAATTACATTAAAATAAACAAATATTTATAATACAGTTTAAGACTGATTAGTCATAAGAGGCCCCTCTTCACGTTGGCCAATGCACTGGCAAATATTATTAACAATATTCATGACCAGCATGTAGGTAACATTATGTTTCTTACTTTGAAAATATGTTTATATTAGGGTTGCTAACATTTAAAATAAGGGACAGTGTCAAAATTTTTACAAGGACGATAAAATTTTCAATAATATAGAAAGATATTTTTCAATTAAAACAAGCGATTTTCTACAAAAAAATTTATTGGAAAATATACAAATATTATATAAAAACACTTTATTCTTTTTTTAACCTCTTTGTAAAAATCACCGCAGATATATACGAGAATTAAAATATATTAAAAGTATTTTCAAATTTTTTAAGCATGCATTATGGTAATAGCCATTATTAGATTTGGATATTTTTTATTTGAATATTTGTCCTGAAAATTAAAATTATCTGGCTTTTTATATTTTTCCAGTTTGGTATGTTATAAAAGAAGACAGTTTCTATAGGTAGAGAAAAGAGGACAGACCGATAGAAAAGAGGACTATCCTCTGGAATAGAGGACGGTTGGCAAGCCTAGTTTATATACAGCGTGATTCATACCTAAGTGAAGAAGCAAACGCACACATTTTTTAAATTAACTTCGTAATTATTGACTTCAGATCCCAAATGTGATAGTTGTCTAAACTCAGTTCATCAAAAGGCATCAAAACGAAATAAAATAATGTTTAAAAATAGTTATTTGTTTAACTAGGCAGAGAAGTAACATATTTTGTGCCGTGGCAATGAAACAAGCCAAGGCAGTAAATCTGTTTCTCTGCTGTGCGAAACATAATTTTTTCTCCGATACAATGTGTTTAAAACAAATAGAATTAAAATGAAAACCTATTTTTAGAATAACAGACAAATCACGCATTTTTAATATTTATTATAATCGTTGTTTTTATAATTATACTGATATAGAACTTTTTAGAAATCAAAATTTAAAATGAAAATCAGAATGTCAGGAAAGTAATACCGGTAGAAACAAGCAGATCGGTAGAGAAAGGCACACAGGTAGAGACAATCACACACAGGTAGAAACAAGGAGACAGAGACAGGGAGCTAACAACAAATTCAGAAGAATCAAGAATTAAATTTTTTTTTTTTATTAAAATTTGGTATATTAATAATATTGTAAATTTGTAGAGCGAATCACCCCCTTTTGAGAGTCTGGACAAATTTTAAGAAAATTGACATACAGGGAGTTTTTATATCAAGTATTGCCAGCCAACGTGGAGCATTGTTTATAATAGTTGGAGAGCTAGTAACACAAATTTCATTAAGTGTTTGATGCACTTTGAAATTTTGTAATTTGAAATGATTTCGATGGAAAAGCAGATATACCTGTGTTGGCTGGACCCACTCCGGGACACCAGGTACTGCGCATAATAGAAAGGGGTCGTAAAATATGACCCAAAAAAAGTGTTTGATTCAGAGGCCAACAAACAACAATTGAAAGTTTAGGTAATTCTAAAAATACTAGTAATTTAGGCACACTTTTGAAAGGGTTTATAATTAATAAATTAACCCCAAAGTTCATTTTTTTAAAATATGATTTGAAAAGTGTTTGATTTGCGCTGAAATTTTAATGGCGTATCTTAATTAATATAAAAAAATTAATTCCAAAAAGGCAGACACTTTTTCCGGGGTTTAATTACCGGCCAACATAAGTAAATATTTGTAATAAATTGTTATATATTATTATAAGCGATTCCAAACTTCTATCAAGATGTGCCCGGAGGCGCAGAGCGTACAGTGGTCAAAATTTGGATAGTGTGGATAGCAAGTTGGTGGTTCGCGAGCCCCGAAACTTTTAGTTTTTTTCCTAAAAAAAAAGGAAAAATATTATTGTTTTATTATTTCACAGTCTTGGTAATTTAAAATGTTTAGTTTTTAAGAAGTATATACTTATTCAATGCATAATGGCGCATAACGAGGTTCATTAATTTTTGTGTTGACCGGCAATTAAACCCCGGAAAAAGTGTCTGCTTTTTTGGAATTAATTTTTTTTATATTTAATTAGGACGCTATTAAAATTTCAGCGTGAATCAAACACTTCAAATCATATTTAAAAAAAAAACAACTTTGGGGTTGATTTATTAATTATAAACCCTCTCAAAAGTGCCTAAATTACTAGTATTTTTAGAATTACCTAAACTTTCAATTGTTGTTTGTTGGCCTCTGAATCAAACACTTTTTTTTGGTCATATTTTACGACACCTTTCTATTATGCGC